AGGCCAAACAGTGTAGATAAGGATGACTGAGTCCGTTGAATTATGATCAATCTAAATAATTCAGAACACTTTTAGTGTATGGTATTTTATAATATTAAAGTTTAGACCTGTAAATCATTAGTGTGACCCTGATCGATATCTGACTGCAGCCTTGTGTTTACAGTAAGTAGCAGAGAAGTGAAACGGGACCAGTAAATTCTGTTTTGCCATTCTGTTGCAGGTTCCCTGGGCACAGCCGGACGGGTCTGCAATAAGACATCGCGCGGCACGGACGGCTGTGAGGTCATGTGCTGTGGGCGTGGCTACGACACCACGAGAGTCAAGCAAATCACCAAGTGCGAGTGCAAGTTCAAGTGGTGCTGCTCTGTGGAGTGTAAGGACTGTGAGGAAGCTGTAGACATACACACATGCAAGGCTCCCAAACGAGCCGAATGGCTGGACCAGACCTGAGGACACGCCCCCTACGCTCCCTGCAATGCAACCCCGCCCCTTTCCCCTGTGCAGGATATCCTGTGGAACACGGCATTCTGGGAAAGTTTGTCCAAAAGTGCTCTGCATCTCCGCCTTCCCCTTTCCCGCAACCTCGACTCAATGCATGGCTTTTCTACCTGTCTCTGTGAAAGCACTAGAATTCAGTACCCGTCAATATGAATTAATACCCATTAGCCCCTGTTTGTGAATGGCCCTGTGACTGGAGTGCTGGGATCAGGTGAACAGTGATACCAGTGATACCAGTGACACCACCTTTGGGGTTCAGGTGGATTAGGCTTTCACTGAAGACTCAGTTCTTGGGTTGAAATGGTTTGCTGCTTTCATGATGCTTTAAAGACTAATTTTTACATTAACTGAGCCTTCAGACATATCCAGTATTATTACAACAACATCATATACTCACATAACGTTGCTTCATTTTGGGGGAAACACACTTTTACCTAAAAAGAAAACAAAAAAAGAATACTAGGTTGGACTTGGTAAGTGCAATTTGAGTGGACATCTGAGTGTAAGTTTGGCTGTGTGTGGCCAAACAGTCCAACCAGAGGACTAACACGCGACAGAGAAATAGACATTGTGTTATTGGAACTTTGAATGCGACTGCGAAAACAAAAAAACAGAAGAAGAAGAAGAAGAAGGAAAAAAAAGCTGTTTAAAGCGATTTATTTAAGCTGTAAAGTGTTGTTTGGTTTCTCTTTCGAGGAAGACGCTGCACTACGTTGGCTGACAAAAGGAGAGAGAAGAGCACTCCCATTACTGTGATTATCTGGTGTTTTCAGCATGCTGCTGAGAAGAAGATGAAGAAAACCGAGGCCTTGATGGCTGTTCAGTCACACCAAACCATAACATCAGACAGATTTCACTTCTTTGCTCTTCGTCTTGCTTGTATAACATTGTGTATATTGCCTTATCTAAGCAGATGTTCATATGAAATATATGGTGCATTAGTCTGACACTGGAATCCTGGTTTTTTGTTCAGATGAGCATTTAGAGCCAATCTGTGTGACAGTGAGTAAACATCACATGCTGTCATAACGTGCCATGTTATTGCCACCACACACACACACACACGCACACACACACACAATATATGTCAGTACAAAGGCTGATTCTGTGTGGGTTGGGGAGGGTGTGTGATATCAGTCAAGGGGAGGGAAGTGTTTGATTAAAGGCCCAGCTTAAACCCCAACCCCTGCTGGCCCTATCCCACCCTCCGCTATGTGGAATTCCAGGTGGGTCCCAGGCTAATGACTAGATGGCTGTAATTACCCGGGGCTGTTGATAGCTGGTGATTGGACATGGTTGTGCCACAGAGGACCTAGTGTGGGCTCCTGCTGGGACCACATTTAATCAAAGGCTTCTTGGCCGGCTTATCAAAGGGAATACTTTTCCAGCAATCTTCTTTGCTTCAGCCCCCTCAGCTCCCCAGACTCTCTGTCCAGTTCTCAGTTATATTAGAGAGTCCAGAGACTCCCGATAAGCTGTACGGGATATCACGAACAAAAAGTAGTGTGCATGTGTGCTTTTGGAAGATCTGACAGATAAAGCTTTAAACTGCTGCTTCGTCACCACAGATAAAATTTGTCTTATTACAATTTTTTGATGCAAGTTGTAACACTTGAAGATGTTTCAGACACAGCTGAAGCATCTCTGGGCTCTCTGCATCTGCAGGCTGTGGTCTGGAGACCACAGTGGTCTTTTAATAGCCATGGGAGGCCAATATCATTAGATAAGATAAGCTTTATTGTCCCTTAGGGTAATTTTATCAAGCCATTCCAGTCACTGAGACTATTCTAGTGCCAGCGTCCGGTGGCAGAGTCTATCTGTGTCCTGGATGCCAGGCTGAGAGCATTCCAGTTCAAGAGTATGACAGGCAAACCATTACTCTTTGAAGCTGGCAGGCGGCAAGAAGAGAAGAGGGAGGCTGTACTGACTGAGGGGACAAATAAAGCATCAAACTACACAGAGGGTTTAAAGGATACATCATTTTCTTGGTCAGCTTAGATCCTTTCCTGTTTGGTTATTGGCACAGCAGGTTAGGATTACTCACTAAATTAAATGCTGCATTTAGGATTTTTTTAATTGTGTAGCTTAACTAACACAAACAGTAAGATGCAGAATAGCCAAAGTAAACAAACCAAAAGTAGGACACAATTTTGTAAAGATGCGTCACATTTCAGAGACTGCTCTGCTCATCTCGAGGAAAGTTTTGGAGGTGGTTGGTTTTCCAGTACAGCAAGGAATTATTTCATGATTACTGACATTACAGGTGTGCCAGCGTGTTCTGACTTCCAAATAAAGAAGCCCCCCCTCCTTTTCCCCTGTTGTAGCAGCGCTTGCCATGTTTCCAGTTCTCAGCAATTAACTTAGTGGGCTATTATCAAAATCAATACAAACAATGGCCAAAGCTGCAATATAAAATCTAGGCTGTAGTAAATCAAAGTTATCCGTTAATCCCTCAAGGCCAAGTAGCCTGACTTGGATCACTGCTTTGAGAGGAGCTTTGTGGTAAAGTCACAAGGCGCTGCTCAAATGGAGCATTTTTCTGCATTTTCTCTTTAAAAAGCAGAGAGTTTTCAAACTGGTATAATGAAAAATGCTGCTGTAAGTGTCTTTGGGTTTTTTTACAGTTTTTGTTTTCACATTTTCTAAATTTTGTGTTTAAAAATAATTTTAAATTTCAAAAAACTCCTCCTGTGTCTCAGTACTGACAGTTAAAGAGATTTATAAACCTTCTGCCGCGGCTGTAATGTGTGTCAGTCTGAGCTCTGGGAGCCGAATGACAACAACTCTGAGAATAGAGAATGAACTCCGGTTACATATATATCCGTGAACGCTCATGCTAGAGGTACATAGGCAGAACTTAAGCTTACACTGGAAGAGCGATTTCAATGACGGTGGGGAGGAAGACGCTGACTTAAACTGGTAGATTTAGGAGAGAAAGAAATGTATAAGGTTACCCAGAGACCTGGCGGGCGTGTTTATCAGCAGATCTTAATCTGAGCAAAACTACGTTCCTCACAATTCATCATCATTACCCGCCCCGTGTGGCGCATCTCTTTGACCGCCCTCCCTCGACCACCTCCGATACAGGCGTCCTGTTGGTGGGAATCTAGCCAGAGATCCACCTCGGGGGTGGTCTGGGTGTCGGCCATGCGATCTGTTTTGCACACATATTCACATGTACGTACCTGCACGCTTGTATAGCACCCTGCCCCCTGAACTACCCTATCACCTGTCTGGTAAAACCCTCAGCGTGTTGGCGGTCCTTCCTACTGTGTCACTCACTGATCATGACCAATGCATCGTGTTTGTGTATGTGTGCAGGGGGATGTTTACGCCTCAAGGCCAGAAGAACCTGTTCTCAGGTTTAATGTGAGTCTAGTAAGGTCGGGGGTCATAAAGTTTAGGCGTATTAACAGAAAAGCTCTGGCACTGTGAATGACCAGCAGCGATTTGCTGCCTGTTGACACCTCCTAAACATTAAGAGCTCGCTCATGTAGCTAAGCTCTCCTCAGGCTGGCCAGCGATGAGGTAAAGCTATTCAGGAGAACACCTGCTTTGCTGGATTTAAATCTGGCCTGCAGTGAGCTGCTCACTCTTGTCAACTCCTTCACTCATCTTTTATTCTTTCGCTCTGCCTCTATTTGATGTGGTGGGTGTCAGCCATTAGGTATTACATGGTGTAGCTTTGCAGAAACGCTGTTGGATTGGAGGGCCTTTGGGAGCAGCAGGAGGTGCAGATTTGTTAGGGAGCTCGAACTAATATTTACGTGACCTCCCGAGACCTGCCTGAGGAGTGTAAAGACAGAAAGCATGAGTATGAATTGATGTAAGTGGAAAAAGGGATTATGACATTAAAGATTTATCTGCTGAGATCCACTGCAACTGCCCTCCACCCCCCAAATTGTCCAATTTTTCACTAACTGCTGCCTTTGCTCAGCCGCTCGTGTAGCTGAGTGACTGCAATGCATTGTGGTACAGCAGTGCAACGCAAAAACTATAGTCAACACGTTGGTCTGAGAGGCTTGCCAAATCAATTCTGGCAACAAAACTTTCCTCTAAACTTTTTATTCACACATACTGTTGTAGATGCAATATTTCCCTTGCTTTTGCAAGTCAGTGGACCTAAAGGAATTTTCCAGAGCAGAAAGCTTGTTTGACCTGGTCCATCATCAATTTGTCATCACTAATATATTCGTGATTTAACTCCTGACTGCTGGGCCAGAAGTCAAGCTTAGTGTTGGCTTGAAGAATACACAGGCGAGAGCTCAGTGCTGAGCCGGAGTCACACAGTTAGAGAGTTAGTCGCTGTGAATTCTTCACCGTACAAGGTGTGGGCCGCAACGTGACGAGGTTTGTATATGTGTGTGACAGTGAGAGTGTGTTTATCTCCCTCCCTGTGTGGGAATTTACAGACACACCTCGCAAGGCACAAACAACAGTGACCTGGAAAAATAGCCGAAATTCCACCAACATACCAGGAAATCTGAGGGTTTAGGCTGACAATACACACGCAAGACAGAGGTGTGGGAAATGGGAGAGATACAGGGTCAGGGTTAAACTGTGTCGGCCTCACAGATACAGATACCAATGAGTGATACCAGCTGACGCACGCTGATGCTGACACTAACAGTGATACCGTGGCTACCTGAGTGGC